ATATCTATTATTATATAATTATTTATTTATTTATTTCAAAATTAATAATATATTTAAATTCGATTTTTTAAATCAATTCATAGATGACAATAACAAACGCAATAGATGGTAAAATTAACGCCGAGTTACCTGTTGAAGCACATCATCTGGTATATGAACATTTTAAGTGAAATCATTTAAATTAATACCTAACAATAATAATAATTTAATAAAATAGAATCGTATGAACATACTTCATGGGGGGATGATAGCATCATTAGTTGATATAGGTGGATCATTAGCCATTGCATCTAAAGGAATGGTTGCTACAGGAGTTAGTACGGATATGAATATTTCATATGTTGGATCAGCGAAAGAAGGAGATATTTTACTTATGGTAAAAAAAAAAAATTTTTTTATCCCCCTTGTGTTTAATTTTTATTACACATTATAATTAAAATATTCTTTAATGTTATTCATAGAATGCAGAATGTGTAAAGCTTGGTAAAACACTTGCATTTACTATTATGGAACTCTACACCAAAACCGATGGGAGATTAATAGCTCAAGGTAGACATACTAAATTCGTTGGCATCGCACATAATCATCCAAATAATATATTTAAGATTAACAGTTCAAAGATGTAAAAAAAAATGATATGAGAATTAGTCAATATCTAATATTAAATAAATTAGAATAAATTAGAATAAGTCTGAATGGAATTTTCAATTGAAACAAATCTTAATATCTATGGATTTGACATACTATATATTTTATAACAAATAATACTATATCGATATATTATACGTAGAATATCCGACGATAAATGTAATACGTATTATTAATAAAATTTTATTAACAGTTATTAACAGTCACTTAATAACAATATATATTTTAATTTATTATGTTTTTTTTTTTTTCATCACAGTATTATACTTTTATCCATTGTTTACAAAATATAACGCTAAGCCTTATATCTACGTATTATGGTAAAAATTCCTTATCTGGAATAACTCCCAAGAATACGTATAAACAATACTGCACAAAATATTATGTTAAATTGACCCAATCACCCCGCATTAAGTACAAGGAAATCAGAAAAGAAGAAAGTTTCTTTTTTGCATTTCTAATTTCAGTATAAAGTGAATGCCAATGTTTTTTCCATTGTTGTCTTTTAAATATTTTTTTTTTAAAAATTCAATTTGCTGATAATAGTTTACAACATGTTATACAGTAATAAAAAATGTGCGCACGTACGTACTGTACGTACAAAAGGCGTAGAGTTAATCTCGATCAAAGCATTATTTAATGTCTGAAGACCTTAAATAGAATAGACCCAAACTCTTATCGACGATTAATAAACCCATTATGCTTAAAAACCAACCAAATTCAAATCAGATTTAGTATCTTAAACCCGGATCTATATTACAGATAAGCCGTTACATTTAAATATTGAGAGTTCTATCACTAAATATTTTTGTCATTCAAAAAGAGCTTTACTTCGCTATTTATTTCCAAAAGTCGCTACTAAAATTAGAGATTGTTTAAAGGCAGTCTATCAACAGTCTAACGAAGCAATCTACACTAGAGATGGGGAAGTTTGATTAAACCTTGATATATGTGGTTAAAACTAAATTAAACCAAACTATAAAGTTTAAAAAAAACAATTAAACATGGTTTGGTTTATTTAATAAACTAGAAATTTGGTTTGGTTTGGTTTAATATTTAATAGTTACTACAAATATTATATGCAATTACTACATATATCAAACTAAACTAAACCAACCCAAACTTCTCTATCTTTAATATAAAACTTTGTAGTTTAGTTTAATTTAAATTTAGTACTGTATATACTAAACCAAATTATTAAGTTTTAAATAGCTATTTAAAAACTAATAAATTTAATACTAATATACTAGGTTTTAGGTCCTCAGGCATTACAACGTAATAAAAGGTTTACAAAAGCTAATTATTAGTATAAAAGGTGAATAAACGGTTTTAATTAATTTTTAGAGCATATCTCATTACGCTAACAATTATTTCACCAGTGCCTAATCACTAATACCATTTGTATTTTTCGAATAAACTATTTCTCTGACTATTTATCTTGTCGATAATTTATTTCTTCAGCTCCACTGAAATCTCTGTTTTGCTAACAACTTCTAGCTAATAGCTCATTTCACTAACAACTAATTTGATCTTCAGATTATTTATCTGAATTTATGAATAAGTATTAATGTTTATAATTTCTGATTTTAATTCTAATTAATTTTACTGATTAATAAATCATTTTTATACTTACATACTAAACTAATGCGATAAAGTTATTTGAAAGATATTAGGCAATAAATCGTAAATAAGTATTTAAAAATAAGTAATTAAGCTAAATCAATAGTATAATCTAAATATATTTTTAGATTTGCGCAGAAAGGAAAGAGAAAAAAGAAATCAAAAAATGAAGTTACAACAAAAAAGCTAAACTATAGGATAGATGAGAATACAGAAAATTGTAATATTAGTCTCAAAATAGCATTAGATAGTATAATCAAAGAAGTAAAAAAAGAAATAATAGCTAGTTAGATTTTAAGTTAGTTATGA